TAAGGCCTGGTCTACACTGGGGGTGAATAACGTAGCTGAAATGATGTACTTAGATCTATTCACCGTGGTGTCTTCACTGCGGTAGGTCGACTGCTGACGCTCCCCTGTCGACTCTGCCTGTGCTTCTTGCCCCCTTGGAGTACCAGAGTCGACAGGAAAGCACTGGGGGTCGATTTATCTCGTCTTCACTAGACACGATAAAACGACCCCCTTTGGATCGATCGCTACGGAGGTAAGTGTAGTCATGTCCTAAGTCATTCTCAAGTGCAGAGTGGGGGAAACTAGCTCATTATTGAGCCTTATTGGGATCCAGGAAGTACTAAAGGATCCCCCCCCCAGCCTAAGAGGGGGTCCACAGGACCTGGAAAACCAAATAATTATGGGGGACAACTAATGAACAACAGGGACAGGAGTGCAGTCAAAGGGTCAAACGGGAACTGGACAGGGACACCGAGCAGAGAACCCCGGACAGCGCCCACTGCTCCTCGAAGGCGTCAAGGGAGTCAGTGGACGCTGCCCAGAGGAACTCTGCCCGGATACGTGAATGGACGGAGGATCGGAAATAGGCCCCACGGTCACAGGAGACTCCATCCGCCAACCTCCTCACCCTGGTTTTATAGATGGCCACTTTAGCCAGGGCCAGGAGGAGGCTGATCAGGTTTGTTGAGCCTTAGGCACCTTTCCACTGCTGTCTCTTTGCTTGTTTTATGCTGTTTATGGAGGATAGTGCATGGTGGGAGGGAATTGGCCTTGACTACACCTTTCTGTAAGGCCCACTTCTCTAACAGAAAGCCTGATCCAGTACCCCTTGAAGTTACTGGATAAACTCTGATTAATTACAGTGAGTGGTAGATTGAACCCAGAGTGCACAAAACACATGAGCGACCAGTGTGACGTTACTTCCTCCCCCACAGTGCTCCTGATGACAGCGTCATGGCAGAACCTTTACCCTAATTTCTGCTAGCTAGAATGCAACCTGTCCACATTTTTTCCTGATATGCACAAACGTGATATGGACCCAAGGAGGGAAAGAAATTGTTTAGGGTGGGTCCAGCCGTAACTAAGGGTAAAGGGAGGAAACAGAACAGAGAAACATTTAGGCTGAATATCAAGAAAAACATCCTAACATTGAAGTTGAGTAGGCTGTGGAATAATCTCCCAAAGGAAGTGGTGGAAACCTTATCAATGAGTCATTTCAAACCAGAGAGGACAAAGCACTGAGTGTAGGGAACAGTCATGCACTGGAAGGGAATGGAGAGAATGACCTCAGGGGTCGTTTCCATCTCTAATTTCTATCATCCCTACAGTCATCCATACTGCAGTTTGCTTTTTATTCCGAAAGAAAATTGGTCTGCAAATACAGTGCAAGCAGTAATGACGCTTCCTAGGAAAAAAATGTTTCTTTGAGCGGAGGAGCCTAGGAAACGCTTTTCAAATCAACTTGGATAACATGAAGTATGTTAATGAGATTTAGAGTAATTTTCTTTTTCATCAGCGCTGCCAGAATGTGTGTCTGTCCTGGCAGCAGTTTTCTTGCAAATTGATGAAACATCAGGATGTTCTATCCAGCCAGTTTAGAGTAGAGTGTTTCCAGGAATGAGTCTGAAAGGACAGATCCGCAACAGCAGCAGCAAATCAGGATAGCTCTGTTGATTTCAGTGCAGAGCTACACCAGTTTACAGCAGCTAAAGATCTGGTCTATTTACTGTTAAAAATAAAAAGATTCCTTCCATTTTACCCAAAGTTTTGCTAAAAGGAGGCACGATTGCCTTTTCTTTTTATTAAAATCGGCCTACATGGGTAATTATATTTTGCCTTCTGAAAATTCCCTTTGTAGTTTCCTTTGGCCATAGTATTCAGCACCTCCTGCTCCAAAGAGTTGTGAGCCTATATTCTGGTAGATTAGTGTATCAAGTCTGTAAGGCACTTTGGTATCCTTGTGGACAACAGGTGCTATATACATGTAATATTCTTGTCATTTTTTAAAGCTGAACTCATTGGCCCACCTTGGCTATTTTTTTAAATCAATGATTTCAAAATAACAGTAATAATAATGTTACTTGTATATATTATACAATGCTAGTCATGTCGCACCATACATCCCTGTAAAGTGCCAAGATACCATGGGGATGGGTGCGGGATAAGAACCTGAATAGAATGTAATTTCTTACCTGAAAGAGTTGAAGACATCCTGAGGCTTGGCTTGAGCTGGTAATTCTTGGTAAGGCAGAGAGAGCTTTTTGGCAGCTTACCACACTAAAGCACACATGTAATGTGGTTCCAGTGGAGACAAGGGTAGATTTTAGTGGATTCCTGCTGCCAGTTGCCTGAAGGTTGCTGGCACTCTGTGATGCGAACACCCAAAACAGCCACCGGGGGCACCATCCCAGTCATTACGAACATGAGGCAGAAGTGAGCGGGTAAATGGGAGTACTGAATGGAGTAATGCAGAGAGGCACAAAGAGCATTGAGAGGGTCCAGATATACCCAGCTTCTTCTCCTGGACTGAAGAATGTGCTGAAGACCAGATGCTTCCCAAAAGTACCCACCCAATTTTGCCTGACTCTTGGTGCCCTCTGTGGCAGCCTGCATCTCTGTTATGACAGTGTATGAGAGACATAATACTGCCTACCTGCAGTGGAATTTCCCTGGCATAGACACTGCATAGGCCAGAGCAGCTGTGAGGCTGCCTAATTTACATATAGGGTTGCCAGGCTCCGGTTTTCAACCGGAACACCCAATCGAAAAAGGACCCTGGTGGCTCCGGTCAGCACCACCACAGGGGCCCGGGACTAAGGCAGGCTCCCTGCCTGCCCTAGCTCCACGTGGCTCCTGGAAGCGGCCGCCATGTCCTTCTGGCTCCTAGGCGCATGTGGCTCTGGCTCTGCGCTTTGCCCCCACCCCTAGTGCCGGCTCTGCAGCTCCCATTGGCACGAGGGCAGCAAACGGAGCCTCCCTAGCTGCCTTGGGGCTGCAGGGACCTGGCAGCCACTTCCTGGTAGCCGCGGTAAGCGCTGCTGGAACCTCGCAGCCCAAACCCCCTCCCGAACCCCCAACCCCCTGCCCCATCCCAGAGTCCCCTCCCGCACCCAAAAATCCCTTCCAGAGCCCGCACCATCACCCCACACCCCAACCCTCTGCCCCATCCCGGAGCCCCCTCCTTTACCCCAAACCCCTCATCCCCAGCCCCACCCCAGAGTCTGAACCCCTTGGCCCCAGCCTGGAGTCCCCTCCTGCACTCCAAACCCCTTATTCCTGGTCCCATCCCAGAGCCTGCACCCCCAGCCGAAGTCCTCAATCCCCCATCCCAACCTCCTGCCCCTGCCTGGAGCCTTCTCCTGCACTCTGAACCCCTCATTTCTGGCTTCACCTGGAGTCCGCACCCCCAGCCCAGAGCCCTCACCCCCTCCCACATCCCTACTCCAGCCCGGAGCCCTCTTCTACACCCCAAACCCCTCATCCCCAGCCCCATCCCAGGCCCTGTGCCCCCAGCTGGAGCCCTCATGCCCCTCCTGCACCCCAACCCTCTGCCCCAGCTCGGTGAAAGTGAGTAAGGGTGGGGGAGAGCGAGCGACGGGGGGTGTGGAGTGAGTGGGGGCGGAGTCTCAGAGAAAGGGCAGGGACAGGGCCTTGGGGCAGGGCAGGGGTGTTTGGTTTTGTGCCATTAGAAAGTTGGCAACCCTATTTACACGAGAGATAAGGTGAGTGAGGTAATATCTTTTAGTGGCCCAATTTCTGTTCATGAGAGACCCATGCTTTTGAGCTACGCAAAGCTCTCCTTCAGTCCCAGACCTGAGAAGAGCTCTGTGTAGCTCAAAAGCTGGGGTCTCTCAAGAACAGAATTTGGTTCACTAAAAGCTATTACCTCACCCACCTCATCTCTCTGATAGTCTGGGACTGACCTGGCTACAACAATATTGCATACAACAATATCATGATTTACACTCAGCTGTTTTGTTCCCTGATCAGTCCAGAATCCCCCTAGCTGTGTGCTCTGGCTTAAATCTGCCTTTGCCCTGAGCCGTACCTGTGTTTGTTGCACCACTTGGAGGCATACAAAATATTGCCTCAATCTTTGGCTTTGAGGGGATTTCTCCAGCCTCCGTACCACCTCCAAAATCTCAAGACTTTTGGCTGTGGATACCCCAATCCTGGCAGATGCGACATTAATGTGACATTAAATAGAATAGAAGAGCTCTAAACAGATGGAGCCTGTCCAGGCAGGCCCCCAAAGAAGATAATTCTTGAGCTCATTGTTTTGGTTCACTTTAAATTTGGGGCCCGTCTTGATTAAAAGCTGTTTCAAGTCCTTTTTTCCCCTCTCTCATGGCTGAGATAGTACGTGCAGGCAGGGGCTGGTGTCAGCCAAGAGGATGGTGTCATCCAGGCTTTTCAATAGTGTAGGCAGTTGCACGGCTCTCACCTGTTCCCATTGCCACATGGAGGAACAAGGGGAAGAAAGCCAGCTTCCCTCTGTGCCTGAAAGGGTTAAAGAAAAGAGACTGTCCCCATCCCATCAGCAGCTCCCTCACCCCATGGCAGATGAGGGGAAGAAGAATATGCCTGTGAGCCTGACTGAGCCCTGGTCTACACTAGGAATTGAGGTCGAATTTAGCAGCGTTAAGTCGATTTAACCCTGCACCCGTCCATACAACGAAGCCCTTTTTTTCAACTTAAAGGGCTCTTAAAATCGATTTCCTTACTCCATCCCGACAAGGGGATTAACGCTGAAATCGGCCTTGCCGGGTCAAATTTGGTGTACTGTGGACGCAATTAGACAGTATTGGCCTCTGGGAGCTATCCCAGAGTGCTCTATTGTGACTGCTCTGCACAGCACTCTCAACTCAGATGCACTGGCCAGGTAGACAGGAAAAGGCCCGCGAACTTTTGAATTTCAAAAGTTTGGCCAGCGTGGCAAGCTGCAGGTGAGTGCAGAGCTCATCAGCAGAGGTGACCATGATGAAGTCCCAAAATCGCAAAAGAGCTCCAGCATGGACCGAATGGGAGGTACGGGATCTGATCGCTACATGGGGAGAGGAATCCATGCTATCAGAACTCCGTTCCAGTTTTCGAAATACCAAAACATTTGTCAAAATCTCCCAGGGCATGAAGGACAGAGGCCATAACAGGGATCCGAAGCAGTGCTGCATGAAACTTAAGGAGCTGAGGCAAGCCTACCAGAAAACCAGAGAGGCAAACGGCTGCTCCGGGTCAGAGCCCCAAACATGCTGATTCTATGATGAGCTGCATGCCATTTTAGGGGGTTCAGCCACCACTACCCCAACCATGTTGTTTGACTCCTTCAAAGGAGATGGAGGCAACACAGAAGCAGAGAGGACAAGGAAGGGACAAGGAAGATGATGATGATGATGATGAAGTTGTAGATAGCTCACAGCAAGCCAGCGGAGAAACCGCTTTTCCCGACAGCCAGAAACTGTTTCTCACCCTGGACCTGGAGCCAGTACCCCCCGAACCCACCCAAGGCTGCCTCCTGGACCCGCCAGGTGGAGAAGGGACCTCTGGTGAGTGTACCTTTTAAAATAGTATACATGGTTTAAAAGTAAGCATGTTTAATGATTAATTTGCCCTGGCATTCGCGGCTCTCCTGGATGTACTCCCAAAGCCTTTGCAAAAGGTTTCTGGGGAAGGCAGCCTTATTCCGTCCACCATGGTAGGACACTTTACCACTCCAGGCCAGTAGCATGTACTCAGGAATCACTGTAGAACAAAGCATTGCAGTGTATGTTTGCTGGCATTCAAACAACATCCGTTCTTTATCTCTCTGTGTTATCCTCAGGAGAGTGATCTCATTCATGGTCACCTGGTTGAAATAGGGTGCTTTTCTTAAGGGGACATTCAGAGGTGTCCGTTCCTGCTGGGCTGTTTGCCTGTGCCTGAACAGAAATGTTCCCCACTGTTAGCCACGGGGAGGGGCTAGCCACACGGTGGGGGGAGGCAAAATGCGACCTTGGAACGAAAGCACATGTGCTATGTATGTAATGTTAACAGCAAGGTTTACCGTGAAAGAGTGTACCCATTATTCTATAAAATGTGTCTTTTTAAATACCACTGTCCCTTTTTTTTTCTCCACCAGCTGCATGTGTTTCAAGGATCACAGGATCTTCTCCTTCCCAGAGGCTAGTGAAGATTAGAAGGCGAAAAAAACGCACTTGCAATGAAATGTTCTCTGAGCTCATGCTGTCCTCCCACATTGACAGAGCCCACATGAATGCGTGGAGGCAGACAATGTCAGAGTGCAGGAAAGCACAAAATGACCAGGAGGAGAAGTGGAGGGCTGAGGAGAGTAAGTGGCGGGCTGAAGAGAGGGCTGAAGCTGAAAGGTGGCGGCAGCATGGTGAGAGGAGGCAGGATTCAATGCTGAGGCTGCTGGAGGATCAAATTAATATGCTCCAGCATATGGTTGAGCTGCAGGAAAGGCAGCTGGAGCACAGACCGCCGCTACAGCCCCTGTGTAACCAACCGCCCTCCTACCCAAGTTCCATAGCCTCCTCACCCAGACGCCCAAGAAAGCGGTGGGAAGGCCTCTGGCCACCCAGCCACTCCACCCTAGAGGATTGCCCAAGCAACAGAAGGCTGGCATTCAAGAAGTTTTAAACTTTTAAAGTGCTGTGTGGCCTTGTCCTTCCCTCCTCCACCACCCCTCCTGGTGCTTCTCTCCTCCACCACCCCTCCCAGGCTACCTTGGCAGTTATCCCCCTATTTGTGTGATGAATTAATAAAGAATGCATGAATGTCAAGCAACAATGACTTTATTGCCCCTGCAAGCGGTGATCGAAGGGAGGAGGGAAGGGTGGTTAGCTTACAGGGAAGTAGAGTGAACCAAGGGGCAGGGGGTTTCATCAAGGAGAAACAAACAGAACTTTCACACCGTAGCCTGGCCAGTCATGAAACTGGTTTTCAAAGCTTCTCTGATGCGCACCGCACCCTCCTGTGCTCTCCTAACCGCCCTGGTGTCTGGCTGCGCGTAACCAGTGGCCAGGCGACTTGCCTCAACCTCCCACCCCGCCATAAACATCTCCCCCTTACTCCCACAGATATTGTGGAGCGCACAACAAGCAGTAATAACAGTGGGAATATTGGTTTCGCTGAGGTCTAACCGAGTCAGTAAACTGCGCCAGTGCGCTTTTAAATGTCCAAATGCGCATTCTACCACCATTCTGCACTTGCTCAGCCTGTAGTTGAACAGCTCCTGATTACTGTCCAGGCTGCCTATGAGCCATGGCATTAAGGGGTAGGCTGGGTCCCCAAGGATAACTATAGGCATTTCAACATCCCCAATGGTTATTTTCTGGTCTGGGAATAAAGTCCCTTCCTGCAGCTTTTGAAACAGACCAGAGTTCCTGAAGACGCGAGCGTCATGTACCTTTCCTGGCCATCCCACGTTGATGTTGGTGAAACGTCCCTTGTGATCCACCAGTGCTTGCAGCACTATTGAAAAGTACCCCTTGTGGTTTATGTACTCGCCGGCTTGGTGCGCCGGTGCCAAGATAGGGATATGGGTTCCGTCTATGTCCCCACCACAGTTAGGGAATCCCATTGCAGCAAAGCCGTCCACTATGACCTGCACATTTCCCAGGGTCACTACCCTTGATATCAGCAGATCTTTGATTGCGTGGGCTACTTGCATCACAGCAGCCCCCACAGTAGATTTGCCCACTCCAAATTGATTCCTGACTGACCAGTAGCTGTCTGGCATTGCAAGCTTCCACAGGGCTATTGCCACTCGCTTCTCAACTGTGAGGGCTGCTCTTATCTTGATATTCATGCGCTTCAGGGCAGGGGAAAGCAAGTCACAAAGTTCCATGAAAGTGCCCTTACGCATGCGAAAGTTTCGCAGCCACTGGGAATCATCCCAGACCTGCAACACTATGCGGTCCCACCAGTCTGTGCTTGTTTCCCGAGCCCAGAATCGGCGTTCCACCAAATGAACCTGCCCCATTAGCACCGTGATGCCCACATTGCGAGGGCCTGTGCTTTGAGAGAAGTCTGTGTCCATGTCCTCATCACTCTCATCACTGTGCTCACGTCACCTACTCGCCTGGTTTCGCTTTGCCAGGTTCTGGTGCTGCATATACTTCTGGATAATGCATGTGGTGTTTAATGTGCTCCTAATTGCCAAAGTGATCTGAGCGGGCTCCATGCTTGCCGTGGTGTGGCGTCTGCACAGAAAAAAGGCGCGGAACGATTGTCTGCTGTTGCTCTGATGGAGGGAGGGGCGACTGACAACTTGGCTTATAGGGTTGGCTTACAGGGAATTAAAATCAACAAACGGGGTGGCTTTACATCAAGGAAAAACAACTGTCACACAGAATGGCCCCCTCAAGGATTGAACTCAAAACTCTGGGTTTAGCAGGCCAATGCTCAACCCACTAAGCTATTCCTCCCTCTGGTATTTCAGGCAGGACTGAATCTCCAGGAGACATACGGTGACAGTGAGCTGAGCGGGCTCCATGCTTGCTGTGGTATGGCATCTGCACAGGTAACTCAGGAAAAAAGGTGCGAAACGATTGTCTACCGTTGCTTTCACAGAGGGACGGCCTGATGACATGTACCCAGAACCACCCGTGACAATGGTTTTTGCCCCATCAGGCATTGGGATGTCAACCCAGAATTCCAATGGGCAGCGGAGGCTGCGGGAACTGTGGGATAGCTACCCATAGTGCAACACTCCGGAAGTCTGCACCGCTACAGACTAGGGACCGAATGGCTAGAAAGTTGACTAGATTGTCGGGCTCAACGGGTAGTGATCAATGGCTCCATGCCTAGTTGGCAGCCGGTGTCAAGTGGCGTGCCCCAGGGGTCGGTCCTGGGGCCGGTTTTGTTCAATATCTTCATAAATGATCTGGAGGATGGTGTGGATTGCACTCTCAGCAAATTTGCGATGATACTAAACTGGGAGGAGTGGTTGATATGCTGGAGGGCAGGGATAGGGTACAGAGGGACCTAGACAAATTGGAGGATTGGGCCAAAAGAAATCTGATGAGGTTCAATAAGGATAAGTGCAGGGTCCTGCACTTAGGACGGAAGAACCCAATGCACAGCTACAGACTAGGGACCGAATGGCTAGGCAACAGTTCTGCGGAAAAGGACCTAGGGGTGACAGTGGACGAGAAGCTGGATATGAGTCAGCAGTGTGCCCTTGTTGCCAAGAAGGCCAATGGCATTTTGGGATGTATAAGTAGGGGCATAGCGAGCAGATCAAGGGACATGATCGTTCCCCTCTATTCGACATGGGTGAGGCCTCATCTGGAGTACTGTGTCCAGTTTTGGGCCCCGCACTACAAGAAGGATGTGGATAAATTGGAGAGAGTCCAGCGAAGGGCAACAAAAATGATTAGGGGTCTGGAACACGTGACTTATGAGGAGAGGCTGAGGGAACTGGGATTGTTTAGTCTGCAGAAGAGAAGAATGAGGGGGGATTTGATAGCTGCTTTCAACTACCTGAGAGGTGGTTCCAGAGAGGATGGTTCTAGACTATTCTCAGTGGTAGAAGAGGACAGGACAAGGAGTAATGGTCTCAAGTTGCAGTGGGGGAGGTTTAGGTTGGATATTAGGAAAAAAATTTTCACTAGGAGGGTGGTGAAACACTGGAATTCGTTACCTAGGGAGGTGGTAGAATCTCCTTCCTTAGAAGTTTTTAAGGTCAGGCTTGACAAAGCCCTGGGTGGGATGATTTAATTGGGGATTGGTCCTGCTTTGAGCAGGGGGTTGGACTAGATGACCTCCTGAGGTTCCTTCCAACCCTGATATTCTATGATTCTAAGTCAACACTAGCCTCGGTACTGTGGAAGCACTCCTCCGAGTTAATGCACTTAATGCACTTAGAGCATTTTGTGTGGGGACACACACAATCAACTATATAAAAATGATTTCTGAAAAAACGACTTCTATAAATTCAACCTAATTTCGTAGTGTAGACATACTCTCAGAGAAAATGGAAGAAGACAAGCAATGAGCTGAGGGGGGAAAGGAATGAGAAAGGGGGGAAGGACAGACAGGGAACAAGGGTGGGGTGGGGTGGGATGGGGAAGGAGACTGAGAAGAGGCCACCAGAGCGTGTGAGAGTGGTGCACCAAAGGAGAGTGGGACTGGGAAGGTGCAGAGGATTGTAGCAGGGTAAAGAGAGAAACATGGGGGTGAGCAGGGATTGAGACACACAGGGAAGTATGGAGAGCCCTGGGGAAAGGGGGAATGGAAAGTGATTGGGGATAACAGAAAAAGAAATGAGGGGAGACAAAGAGTGGGAAGAAACGGAGATGGTGAAAAATGGAAGAGAAAATAAAAGGGAGAAAAGGAATTAACAGAGAAGAGGAAATGTCATGGAGACCAAAGGAAAAAATAAACTTGGAGGTGGGAGGGGGAGCCAAGAAAAGCCATATGTGACCTGCAGGTTTGTACATTGTATTTCATGGCTTCGTGTTGACACTTCTGTTATATTTCCCTGTCAGAAAGGGGGAACTGAAAGGAGCAGGGGACTCTAGAATCTATGGACCTATTGATGCCCTACAAGTGGAGGCAGGCAGCGAGAATCTTTGGGGCACTTGTGGGATTGGGCCCTGGGATGGAGACTGGAACCTAGGGCAGGGGTTGTACTAGCCCCTTTCCCTGCTCTCTCCTCAGTTTCCCTGCCCACCCCTCAGTGAGAATCATGATGAAGTGGGTTTTAGCCCACGAAAGCTTATGGCCAAATAAATTTGTTAGTCTCTAAGCTGCAACAAGGACTCCTCGTTATTGCTAGTTAATTTGCTTTCCATCATTTCACTGGCAACAGTGCACTCTTGTGGCCAAGTAAGGATGTGTCAGAAGAGCTATATTTAAATGTGTGATGCCGCACTCCAGTTTCAGTGACATCTGTTAGTTCATCTCTTTCATTTTCATAAAGATGTGAAATTTCACGCTTCCAGCTTGCGACTGGGTTTATAATTTGACAAATAATTTTTTTTAAATCATGTCATTATGAAGCATTACCACCCATACATTAACGCCTTAGTACAAAGCCCCGCTGAGAGCCAACTTTCCAGTGTAATTTTCCTGCATGTCTGCCAAACAGTCCATGGAAAGAACCATCTGTGATGTCTTATGGGGGCATTTCTCGGTCATAGCTTCCAAAGGGTAACTAAAAACTCTGCTGTAAAACATAAGCCATCAGCACACATTGCATGGATTTTCACATAAGAGTTTTTAGAACAAATGATAACATCCACTCTTTGGTCTTATACTTTTAGATTCCATCTGTATCTTGAACTAATCAGACCCCCTGGCAAAATTAAGGTCTTATATGAATTATGTCTCTCACGATCCAATTTATACTTAAAGACTATTCTTTGTGAAGGAACTTTGCTGCTTTACAGTACATTGGATAGGAACAGTCCATTAAAGTTTGTCTAGTGGATAAGGCAACATCTTGGGTAAACAAGTTCCTGATTACATTATAATTTTTAACAGTGAGGGTAATTAATCATTGGAACAACCTACCAAGGGACGTGGTGGGTTCTCCATCTTTTCATGTCATCAGATCAAGCCTGGATGCCCTTCTGGAAGATACGCGTTAGTCAAACACAAGTTATTGGGCTCAGTACAAGAGTAAGTGGCTGAAAGTCTATGGTCTGTGCTAGACAGCAGGTCAGACTAGATAATCTAATGGTCCCTTCTGACCTCAAAAATCTATGAAAAATTCCCCCAAGTGCAGGAGTATTATGGGGAA